CTCCTTGATTTTGTGCGATGATGTCTGCCAAAACCTCCTTCAACCTCAATGACAACACCTTAGCAATGATCCTGTTCAGGCTATTAACCAAGCTAATTGGCCTAAAGTCCTTCGGGTGGGAGGCATCTGTCTAGAGACTTATCTCAGATGTTTTGCAGGAGAAAAGCCGACTTTGGCTGAAATGGCTCCCGTGGGCTGAATTTTGGTACAATACCACTTATCGTGTTACTACAAGGACCACCCCATTCAAGATCCTGTATGGAAGAGATCCACCCTCAGTGCTATCCTATGAGAAGGGCACTTCAACAATTGCAGAGGTGGAATAGCAGCTTGAAGCCAAAGATGAAGCACTTCAATCACTCAAGAATCACTTACTCAAGGCTCAAAATTACATGAAGATGCAGTATGATAAGAAACATCGCGAGGTGGAATACCAAGTGAGGGACCTAGTTTACTTGAAACTACAACTTTACATACAATCATCACTGGCTAAAAGAGTGTGGCAGAAGTTTTTACCCCGCTTCTTTGGTCCCTTTCGCATTTCAGAGAGAGTGGGAGCTGTGGCTTACAAATTAGACCTGCCAAGTACTGCTCGACTCCACCTAGTATTTCATGTCTCACTCCTCAAACCATGTCGGACAGATGCAGCCTTAGTAAAACCACTATTGCCAGAGTTTACTAGTGAAGGGCAGATGATTGTTGAGCCTAGTGTCATCACTGACTTCCGTTGGATAAAGACAGGTCGCAAAGTAGTGGAGAAGGCCCTTGTTCAATGGACGAACCTGTCCCCAAAAGATGCCACTTGGGAAGACATCAGTCGCTTGCAAGAACAATTTCCCCATATGGACCTTGAGGCCAAGGTCGTTCTTAAGGGTGGGGGAGATGATGGATCCCAGGCGAATAACCCACCATCAGGTCACCGGGCCCATTCGGTGCAGGAAAGCCAAGGCCCACACGGGTCATGAAGCCCATGCAGGAGCAGCTGCAGCACATGCCAAACATTACAAACCTCCCCTGCGATTTGTTTATAACCGTAGGCCACGTCCTAACCACCCACATGCAGAGCTCGAAGTCATGAAGAGCTGATTAGTGTGAGAGCCTATATATGGCCATTGATTAGAACAGAATGGAGAGAAGAATCATAACTACCTTGTTTTCCTTCTCTCTTCCTCTTCTTTCTCTCCCTCGAAGAAGCTCTGCCAGCTTAGAGTCCATCAAAACATGAACCAGAAAATCAAATACCAAGCTTCCCAAAAGCAAAGATGAAAAAAAAAAAAAACAATAAATTATCACAAAACACAACCACACCCCACAATCAATCTTTACAACAATGAAACTCAAGCAAAACCAGCCTACTAAACATAGAAAAAACATGAAAGAAAAAACAATATGTGCTTCCCATCCAACATCCCGAAAGGAACAAGAACAAGACAAGCAGCAAATTCTCTAATTCTTTTGGATTTTCCTGTATTCCATCATCTTCTTATTTGGTTCAATCCCAAATAGCCCTCCTTTTAATATAGCAAAGACATTTGAAACAACACTTTGGTGCTTTTTTTTGGGTAAAAGACTTAATACCTCCCTTGGGGTTTCTCCTAAATACTGAAACATCCCCTGTTTTTTTAAATTGGACTAAGACCTCACCTCCCTCATTGAGTGAGGTCACTGGACAAATACTACACCTCCATTAACACTCCATCCAGATCCATTTGTACATCACATTATGTGCTAGTTAATTTTTTTCAAAACCCAATTTTGTCCATTTATATATTCTTTCTTTGTCCGCCTGGAGCATAATTCAGAAGTAGTATATCCACGAGTTGCTCTTGCATCTTCCATGACTCGCATATGTGCCAGCGGTGGTGCTACTCTGTCTTGAACAAAATAGTTAGTGGATCCTTCAATTTCAAATTCTAATATTTAGATTAGGAGTGCTAGCGGCTTGAATGCATTGAGTTCAATTTCAAATTCTGACATTAATTCTTTTGTTTATTTCTCAGGAAATGGACTGATTGGTGGGACATGGGGCAAGGAAAGGTCAGAGGTCCCTAAACTTAATTTTGGTATAAAAAAACCTAAAAAAAACCAAAATAAATAAATACTTGAATCAGAATTATAGTTGGAGGATATAATGGTAGTAAAGATGTAAAAATAATCAAAGAAAATAGCATGATAACAGAGGCTATTTCATGAAATAAGCCATGATTTAATCAGAAGGTTCTGATTTCTGAACAAGACTAACAGGCTTGGCTTAAAGCAACAGAGGCCACAACAAAGTTTATAATTAAAAAATGTGTATTTGATTCTAATCTCTCAAAACATCATGGAAGTGCTAGTCGAGATAGATAATCTTCTCATTGGATTTGTAAGCCTGATCTTTCTTTGTTCTGTCCTGTATTTTTCTTTAATTACGGTTTGGTGGTTTTCTTTAAAAATTTAAAGAACAAAGGAAGGCAAAAATGTTATTTTATTGAATCTGTTAAATATGACAATATATCTTGTTGATAGGGAAGGGGAGGTCTAAGTCCAATCAGAAACCATAGGGGTGGTATAAGTATTTATCTTAAACCATAGAGGAGGTTTTAAGTCTTTTACCTTTCTTTTACTCTTAAATCTTCTAACCGAAAAATTATCCTTCACAAGCTCCAACAAATCCTTAGTCTTCTTGTTAATCGTTTCCGATCCCTAACTCCGCTCTTCTCAAAAAAAAAAAAAAAAAAGAAAAAAAATGAAATTCCAGCGGATTTCTGTCCAACACTAATGTCTTCAGGCCCTGAAAGACTTTCTTTAAAAATTTAAAGAACAAAGGAAGGCAAAAATGTTATTTTATTGAATCTGTTAAATATGACAATATATCTTGTTGATAGGGGAGGGGAGGTCTAAGTCCAATCAGAAACCATAGGGGTGGTATAAGTATTTATCTTAAACCTTAGGGGAGGTTTTAAGTCTTTTACCTTTCTTTTACTCTTAAATCTTCTAACCGAAAAATTATCCTTCATAAGCTCCAACAAATCCTTAATCTTCTTGTTAATCATTTCCGATCCCTAGCTGCGCTCTTCTCAAAAAAAAAAGAAAGAAAAAAATGAAATTCCAGCGGATTTCTGTCCAACACTAATGTCTTCAGGCCCTGAAAGACTTTCTTCATGGCTAACACCAATCACACTCAGAGGTAATGGATAATTCTCATCCAGTTCCTTAAACTTCTTCCAAACAAGTTCCTCTCCTCCTACAACTAGTAGTAGTCCCATTGATTTAAACACTTCTACTTCTATGTTTACAACCTTTTCCAAATCAACCTATTTTTTAATTTCATGGGTTTCATCTATCACCTCATCTTCAGTTGATTCACTTGGATCTCTATCATCCTCAGCTACAACCTTCTCCATTAAAAGCCTTGTCCAATAATTTCTTTTTCTGTTGTATACTCTGAAACAAGAAGCATGCCATACATTATTTCTCCTCCTCTTCTTTCTTTACCCGCCCCTTCACCTATTGGATTATTGTTAACAGCTTCACCACTTCTTTCATTCTTTTATCCCCTTTCCCACAATATTACCATCCAATTGTTCAATGAGCTCCTGCACTCCTTTTCCTCCTCTTGTTTCTTCAGTCTTCACATGCCCCTTCATAGCCGACTCAAGCTGGGTCTCAAAGGAGCCAAATTGCATCTAGTAATGAATTGGGTTTGGAAGTCTGCTCAATCCTCTCTATCTATGTAACATTGATATTCTCCTATTATAAAGGATTAAATGTATATGTATTTACAGAAACACGGAAGCTGACTCGAGTTGGGTCTCTAAGGAGCCAAATTGCATCTAGTAATGAACTGAGTAACCATGGATGACACCAATAGTCAGCATCCAGTTAATATCTTTCTATTGGATATGAATGGAAGTAACTGTCTCACATATAAGTTGAGGACCCATAAGGCATGGTGTCTGCTACCTGTGGGTGGCATATGTATAGTTGACAAGACTAGATAATGGTTCAAATATCTTAACAAACTAGGAATATAGAACTGCTCAAAGTACAATATTAGAAAGGACTCGTTTTTAAATTTGACAGCAGAGAGATACTCCAAGGTGGCCTCTGCCTTAAGCAATTAATAAAAATAGAAACAAAGAGAATTGTAAATTGGTTATGCTTTGAGAGGAGGAGAAGATGAAGAAAAAAAGAGATGAAAAGAAAATTGCATATTGCAATATCAATAGACCCGCTGGCACCTATTTCTTATGATATTATTAAGAATGAACTACTTATGATAGTATTAAGAATAATTAAAACATTTGATATGGACCATATAACTTGTAAATGAAAAGGCAATCAAACATTTATAAGAGAAACCTTTATGAAGACGCAATTCCCCTGCACTTTGTTTCTTGACAGGTGCCCTTCCATTGGCATTTTCTGACATCTCCCTTTGCTTTTCCTTCACTTTGAAAAGCTTAATCATTATGCCTACAATTAAAATAGAAATTAGTATCTAAAGCATCCCATGGCATATAGCATATGAACTTTACCTTTCTTAAAACTTTGAAAATCTTGGTTGGTTTTGATAACTGCAGAAATAGGCACTAAAAGCAGTATAAGGAAGAGATTCCCAAGTTTAAAATGCTCAATTCAGCATTCTAGTAACTTGCAGACTACCTATTTGCAGAATGATGACAGCACAGGAATTGGAAGGATTAATTTATCCTTACAATTTTTATCATATACCAATAATACCTGTGCATTTAAACTGTTACAAGTCTGAAATACTTTCCAAGCTCTTCTTTCAGCACCCAATTCAGCAGTTATCAAACACTATCTTAATAAAATAGTGTATAAAGGGAACAACATTCCAATACAAAATGAAGGAAAGCCACAAATCACAGTTCAAAAAGTAGTGATCAAAAGAATAACAGGAGAGCTAAACGTAAGTTACTAATCATGCCATTATTCATTCAACTAGGAAAAAATGAATAGTAATTTAAGTATAAAGCACTGCTTTCTCCAAGTCAAAGGTTCACTGTAATAAAACAATGAAATCATTTGTAACAAAGATTCCCAGCAAAAACACCATATAGATACTCAAGCACACAAATATTAGGGCAATCAGAGCAGACCCAGTACAGGGCCTTTGATGACCTACTTGACTGAGCTTTTTTTTTTGATAGATAACAGAAACTTTTATTAATAAAGAGTTTAGAAAGGAGGATACAACAGGAGGGAGGGTAAAATCTCTTAATCCTCCCTGAAAGTTTACTTCATATTACAAAGCTGCCCAGAAAAGAATAGCTCTTCCCAAGTCAGCAAATCAGCCTCCCTTTTATTTTATTTTTTTGGGTGCTCATTATAGGATTTTGTGATTCAATTTTGACTTCCATGGAATCCTCCAACACTAAGAAAAATTAATTGTCAATTCTTGAGAAGGGATAATGATAAAAAATAGGACTCCATGTTAGCTGGGTAAGACTCATGTACTGAACTCTTAAAAAAATAACAGCATTGGCAAGTAATTGTCATACTTGTGCAAAGCCAAGTTTAACTATTCAAGATCAATAGGATAAAACATAACTTGTAAATATCAATCCTGAAATGGACCACCAATTCAGCATGACACATGAAACCTCCATATCAGTATTTCTAGAATTTTTAGATCCACAATGCAGGCAAAGTGATACGCACAATAGATGGCAAACTAAAATTGAGTTAGAGATAGAAGGCCATTTTGTATTTGAAGTAATTGAGAAAATACAATAAAAAAGAAAAAGGGAGATTTTTATGATTTTGAAATCTTTTCCACTAGGTAAACTATTCTCCTTATGTATGAAGATAATCAATTTGGTCGCTGTGGTGGTTGGACTCTATTATGGATTTCTTACCACATTCTCCATAGGGCCCTCTTATCTCTTCTCTGAGAGCTCAGGTTATGGAAGAAGGAATCAAGGCTATTTAGTCTTTGAAGTTTGTCCTATCTTTGCTTTATAGGCAAAGTAGGAATTCGACTAAATCTCATGTCAACAAGCACGAAAATATCCATTTGAGGTTGAGCTAAGAATGTCAAAGCTTAGGTCCATCAACCCCTCCCAAGATCCCAGATGGCTAGGACCAACATTGAGTAATGGTAATGGGTGGAGATTTGAATAAATGAGGGATTCTAGCAGATAAGGGCAACTTTTTGCCCCTAATAGCAACAAAAGTAACACTTTTTTAAGAATTACAATTTCAAGGTTACTTTTTGTGAAAAATATCATATAGGAACATTAAGATACGAGGTCTCTCTCTCTCTCATCTGATCGGATGGGGACATTGGAGACTTCTCGAGAGCCCTAGCCCGGAATGAATCCTAGATGATGTCAGCAGATCTTTTAGCATGGGTTCCGCTGGCAGATCAGTCTTCCACCTTCAAAGGCGTCTACAACTCCCCAAAAGGTGAGCGTCTAACCGGCGGTTCTCAAGCCGTTCACATGAACGCTCCCCGCATCGGTGGTAGCTTCACCGTCTAGGGCGGTCTATCTTCCGTCTTTGATTGCACCATGGTCTATATTCGATAGAAGGAAGACCCTTGGAACTCCATCATCGCTGGTGCTGCCAGCAGCAGGTTCCTCCAGATGCATGTGTCAAGGTTTCGGTGCAGCACCTATGTGTATTGTAGTGGGGTGTTGCTTGCTTTGATCAAAGGAACTGGAATCATGCTAAGCAAGGTTCTTGGTGCTCCTTAGAATTTTCATCCATTGGAGGAGCCAGTACCCAGTGTGCCCAACCCATTTAATTCTCCTGGGTATCTTAGTGGAAAATTTTCGAATCAGAAACTGACACAAACTCCAACTCTTGAAACTTCAATAGAGAGGTCTTCTTCTTCTTCTTCTTGGTTTGGGGGTTATTTGGCAGTAAAAAGAAGCAGGAGATAGGGCACTAACATGAAGGTTAAGGAGAAGGGAGATAAAAACCTAAGAGAGAGAGAAAATAAGTTCACAAAAACATATAAAACCAGCTAAAAAGAGGAGAAATAGAATGGTTCTTTCAGAGATGTAAGTGTAAGAGAAAACTTTGTTCTCCAGGTTCGATTCCATGAAAACTACAGTAAACTTTGAAGTTCAAGTTCAAAAGTGTAAAGTGAGAGAAAAGCATTAGAAAGTTAGAAACATTGGTCTAGTAACAGATCATATCTTAATTCAAGGGCGACAAATAATAGATCAGATCTTAATTCAAGGGCGACAAATAACAGATCAGATCTTAATTGCGAATGAGTGTGTGGAGGAAATGAAAAGGTCTAGTAAGAGAGGTTTCATTCATTTCCTCTATTATTGCACCCAACCAAAGTGCTTTTCTGGAGGGAAGACAGATCACCGATCAGATCCTCATTGCAAATGAGAGCTTGGAGAGCTTTAGAAAGTCAAAGAAGAAGGGAGTGGTCTGCAAATTGGATCTGGAGAAGGCTTTCGACTTGGTTGATTGGTCATTCTTGATGGAGGTGTTGAGGAGTTTTGGTTTTGGTGACAGGTGGTGCAAGTGGATCTGGGGCTGTGTTAGGACTTGCCATTATTCTATCCTGGTGAACGGGACTGTGGTGGACTTCTTTCCGGCGTTGAGAGGTCTAA